ATTTAGTGATTTCTTAATGTAACAGCTAATACAACGTAAGTAGGAACATACTTACTTGTGTCAGTGGAGTGAAGATTTTGAGGAGGAGGAAATTATAACATTATGAATCTGAAGCCCTACGTCCTAAAAATGTGTGTCTGTGGGGAAATCTTTGAATGGATAAACAATGAGTCTTCCCCCAAAAACGCACATTAGTACATGAAACCGCATTCCTTGGCTCAAATTAACAAGTTTCATTGACCACAGAAATCTTCCACGTCCATGGACTCCTTTCACGGGTTCTATTATGACTGGCATACATTTACTAGAGGTAAGTTTTGTGCTTCCGTAGGAAAAAAAATTAGGAAAACACAAACTGGAAAAGAATGAATATCACTTGTTTAAGTTACAAGTGATCTTGACAATGTTATAGCAAAGTTGTACATACAGAAGAACTAAAAATCTCATGAATAGAGAGAGAGAATAGAGGAGACATGAAGGAAGGCAAGGTCTTCAACAACATACGGTCTTGAGGATCAGGCTCACTGAGTCTATAGCAATTGTGTTGGACTCGGATGGTTAAATCATTTTAAAGGGAGGACACTACACTAATTTTAAGGGCAGGGCTGAAACATAATTGTGAGAACACTGGAACATATGTTAATCCTTCTTGTGATGCTCAAAGTACATTACAAGCTCTTTGCTTGAGGTAACTCCATACATAGAACAGTTTTAATAGATATAAGCCTTTCGCTACATTATTTCAGGAATCTGTTAACCTACCACGAGCTAGACAATATGGCTATGCAAATGTCACTGCCACGCCAGGAAGGAAGTTGTTTAGCACTTGATGAACTCTGAGCTGTCACAGCCAGGCTGGTATTCTAGCTGGCTTGTGTATCTCTACATTGCTGTCAATACAACATAGATATTCTCTAGCTGACTTTATCTGGGCTGCAAACACAATCATTCTCCTCCTGGCTTTAGTGTGCTAGATAGAAAGATGAGAAGAACTGTGTTTTTTATTAACCGTTCTTATTCAGTAGTTCTTTTTTACCTTTTACATTTACACATTAGTTTACATCCAGAAGAATAGGAACTAAATTCAACTCTCCACTTAAAAGTGCCACTTTTCCAATCATCTGAAACACAGTTACTTCAGTAACTACAGTTGAACTCAGCGTAATACCATTCGATGAGACAGAATGTTGTCTGACACTGATTCAAATGCCTTATGTTAAGTTCAAGGTCAAAAACCTATGAGGATTTAGGTGACTCGCATTTCCATAGCATTTAGACCTCACCATCTCTAAAACATCTCTTACAGATTCTGTTCAAAATGCCAATACACAGTAGATTTTCTGTATGCATCTATCTTCCTATACAAAGTAATTTGCTATCTGCTCTGAACAGCGTAGAAACCTACAGTTATCTCACTGATTTTACCTGTGGGGTGGGGGGAAGAGAAGAGAGACATTTCTCAGAAAATTCACTCTGACAGCAACCGTAACAACTTTTCTAACAAAGAAAATGGACAGAGCTTTTCAATACTACTACTAGTCTTACCTAAGAATGCACAGCTCTGCAAAATCAGAGCTTTTGAACTTATTATTATTGGTTTATTATCGAAGCACTCCTCTAGGAGCAAGGACAATAAAGTAATTACATTAAAGAAATTTCAAGAAATTAAAATGAATGAAAATAAAAATTAGACACACAGCCAATTACGAACTACCTTAGAAATAACAGTACTCTTGCAAGACATGTATCTGCTCTTTCTGTACCTTATCTCTAGAGTAAGAGATAAGCTATTGGTTTTGTACTAGACCCTGAAACAAGCCAGTTACCGCTACAGCTAACATCATCTTCTGATCCCTTTCCACAGCCACTTGTACACACTGGAAAAGATGACTGACAAGAGTGAACGCTGGCAATACGCAGTGTGAAGAGAGGAGAGGGGCAATAGCCCATTACCTCCATTTTAAATTTCCGTCCAAAAGCTACTCCCATCCCCTGGCAATGCAATATCATCTTACATAAGCTCCCAGCAGCATTATCTGACCAACAGCAATCGTTGGAGGCATTTCTGTTTCAGCCGTGACTGGAAGATACCAGAGCAAAATGCTTCCCAAGCTGCTTCATCTTAGTCAAGCGTTCCCAATCCAGATCTCGGAAAGAGCAGAATAACTGAAGACGTAATGTTTCCTGAGCCATGGTCTGACACCGGGTTCCTTCGCTGACACTATCATCACAACGTCTCCCAAGACATGGCCACTTCTCCACGAACTGTGACCCCCCTGGAACAGATTTGGCAGGATGTGGCCTGAAGCCATGTCTCGGCCCCACGCCCTCCCAGTCTGCTCCAACAGCCGAAACATAGTGGACGAGACTCTATCTTTCTGGAGTCAGGTCAACTTGGAGGTAGACCTCTGAGTACAGAACGATCTTACCCCACGGATAGGAAAAGCTCACAAAGTCAAATATTTGAAGTTATCTCTAGAAAACAAACAACAAAGGTTTTAATATAAACTGAACCACTTCTACTAAATTAGGGTTTGTAGACGATGCTGACGTGAGTAATTTTTAACTCACCAACATACAGCTGCAGCAGGACACCGCAAAAAGGGGTTTACGGCAGCCAGAGTCAGAACAAGGCTTCAGCAATGACATTTTCCTTCCCCTTCAGCCGCTGCGGGTCAGGGACTACCACCATATCTGGGAGGAGGGCGAGAATACTGAGGAGCCGTGCTGCCGGCTGACACCCTGAGCACAGCGTAATAACAACACCTTCCCACAGACAAATCCTGCCAATAGGCATTTATTTCTCTTCGGAACTGAAGCAGTCGTAGGGGTCAGTGAGGAAATCCATCAGCCAGACAGCCGAGAAACTGTCCTCCAAATCTTCCTCTGCGTCGTTCAGGCTAAAGCCTGAACAGTTTCACTGCAAGACCACCACTTCATGGCACAGGTAGCAACATGCAAAAGGATCAAACATTAAATACACAAACACAAGTAGACTTTTATAGTGTCTCGCATGTGAGGAGTCTGATTTGCTGATCTTGCTAAAACAACTGTAAGTGACTGGCAGTTCCCAGTTTGGAGCATCCAAGTGGAGATAGGATTTTTCAGACAAAAGGAGAGAAGCACTGCCCAGGAAAAAAAAAAAATCCAATAGCTCAAAACAGACAAAAATCAGAGCACTCAAACTCTTACTCACTTGTAACAGTTTGTTGAGGTACTGTACATTGGGTTGGTTTTGGGGTTGTTTTTTTTAACAATTCAAATACTCTTTCCATGTTAAGAAGCAGAACAACAAGTTTCACTGGAATGCAAACTTTATAGTTACAGATTTCCCACAGGTCACCAGGCTTGACACAGTGTCAGAAAAATCTATCAAAACTATCAGGTTGCACATTTTTTCATTAATGCTAACAGAAAGAAATATTAGCAATATTGCAACTAACTGTCAGAGGAAGTGAGTCAGAAAAATATACTATGGGAAAAATTAAGAAACTATTCATTAGATTACTAGATTATTAGAGCTTCTCCATCTATTCAAGACGATGATTAAATCAGACATCAAAATTCATTAGCAAAATGAATTTACATGACTTCACACTCTCTTTCCTTACCTCCTACCTAGCTATCATATCCATAAGATGGCAGACAGAGGCTTTGAAAAATCTAGTATATATTTTAAAGTGATTACCTAAAAACTGAAGATTAATTAAAAGGTCTTTATTAAGCATACATAAAACTTAATAAAAAAAAAAAAAAAAACCCCGAACCAAGTGTTTTCCAGTAAGCATGTATGTTTGTGTCATGGCTGTAATGAAACATGCATTAAGTATGAAACATATGGTTTCCATTTTGTTGCCCTGGAATCCATCCAAAGACATTTTATGTTGTTAGCTTAACTGTTCTCCTCAGCTGAGAAGTTGTGGAAAATATCTCATCTGAAAAAAATCTGTACCTAATGGATAACTATAAAAGATTTGCTAGATCTGCGGCAGACTACTTTATTAAAAAAGTTTCTGAGATTACTATTTAATTACTGGATTCTTTTTTTTTTTTTTTTAAATTAGAATATAATTTCCAAACTCAAAAAAATTTGCTTTAAGAGGCACCGCAAATTACATGAACAGATTACGTTCGTAGTATTTTCTTTACTTAACAAATTTGTAGCGGTGTTTATGGCGCTCTATTGGAACCAGGCCACTTGACCTAACAAGAACGCATGACAAAATCATTACTAATGTATCATCTCCCTGATTTTATAGATTTGAGAAATTTATCATATGCCGAAAGAAGATCACTTTTGGCTAATGACCTGATTCAGAGGCAAGGATCACTAAAAATGAGCGAAAAGATCATATTTCCTTATTTTTAATAATGCTTCGGTTTGCCCTGGTGCAGAAATAGGTTGTCAAAGAGTTGGCTAAGAATTTCAAGACATCTATCACGAATGCCCAGATTTAAATTTTACTTACATTAACAGAAAACATACTAGAAAGACTGAAGACAAAGTCACAAGGTTAAATTTTGCCATGCTGTGCTTAAAAATTCATCCCCAAATTGCGAGGCTGCTAACCTCAGTAACAACAAGCAGGCAATGTATAAAACCTTTCATACCTTTGCGCTGTAAACTATTTCAGCTATTGACTTGTTCCAGGAATTGACATGTTGTATTTAAACCGTTACGCCTGCTGTAACTCTTACAATGCATTGCTAACCTTTCTTCTGATGAAGCCAATGGAAAAATAGTACCATGAATAAATTGATAAATCCAACCAAATGAGTTTGGAGACATTACCATACTATGCTTCTTTATTTCATTAGTTGAGATGATTTCGGATATGGCAGTTGAAAGCCCCCATTTTGTTACCTTAATATATCATGTGGCTTGAGGACTGTGTAAAGGGCCTGCAACTTGAAAATTCACATTGCCGATGCTCTGCTAACATACAAGCTTGTTCATCTTCACAACCCACTGCAAAAATTAGCCAGTTATTTTAACTCACCTTTGCCATCTGTGCTTGGACTCCACTAGCCTTTAAAGCAGAAACCGCCTTCTGAGCAGCTGCCGGGCTGTCAAAGTCAACAAAACCATAACCTGAAATATAAACCATATTTCATGAACGAGACAGCAACCAGCTTATAATCAAACAGTTCATACGCTACTAGCACGGTTATTTAATACAATTTTCTTGTTGGTGAAGAGGGCCAATTTGAACTCCGAAGTTCTTCATGTAGTCCCAAAAAAAAAAAAAATCAATCTACCAAAGTCCTTCAACCCTGAACTGGTGGAGCAAATCAATTTCCATGCCCACTCATTATCAGGATTTTGCCCAAATTACTAACAAGTAGTATGGTGGTTTGCTTTGTGTTATCTGGTATGTATCTTCTAAGAGCAAATGTGACATCATCAGTTTATTTCATAGAGATCACTGAGTAAAGCATAATCTGTTAATTTTTCTAAACTAAATCCTTAGTCCAGTTTGAATTGGTGACCAATAAGCCTCTAAGTTACACGTCATTTACTCAAAACTGGGAGAGGACTTTAGTTTAAAAGATACATATCTACTGCATCGTAACTAATTCATTGTGTATACATAAAAGACAGTTCAATTTTAAAAGTAAGTGAAAACTCAGCTTCAGTGAAATCAAGTGAGTTTTTCCCACTGTTGTTACTGAAACCAGAATGTAAAAAATTGTCCTGAACGCATTTTCTATGCCATATAATACAATCTTTAAATGTTAAAGTAAACCCAAAGTAAACTGCAACAATTTCCATATATTTGCAGTAACTTGTTTCTTATTCTGAACAACATTGTAAAGCTAATGGATTCCAGGACATTTGAACAGCAATATTCCTTGGCCTTTACAGACACTAACCTTACAGGCTGGGATTTTTAATGTCACCTGGGAGTTGGATGCTCAAGTCTCACCAAAAGGCAGTCAGAGTTTGGAAGCTACTTCCCCTAGATATTATTGCAATCCTCATTCTGCATTTTTCAACCCTCTTCCTTCCCACCAGTGAACAGCCTCAAATATTAAAGAAATCCCTCTCCAATCTCCCAAGTTGGGTTAAAAGAAAACAAACAAAAAACCCAACAATTAAAAAAAAGCTTCTGGAGGCGTAGAAAATGGAATTATTTCTTCAGAAAGTAATAGTATTCTCTTACAGTATGTCTATACTGATGACAAAAAGGTTGTGTAAAGATATAAATGAACCAGCTTTGAAGTCCTTAACTCGGGAAAAACAACTCGAGCAGCCTTGTACATCACTGCAAGCTTATTTAACCTGCCAAGAAGCTGAAGAAAGCAGCATACTGTTCTGTGTAACATGTGGTGTTGTGGACTGTTAAATCTTGACATGAAACAGAGTGAATTAGCTCATATCAAGTTTTGCACTGCCAAGGCAAAACTAGCTTTCCATACCCAAAACTAGCTTTCCATACCCATTACAGCCCCGGTTTTCAACACCACCACACTGCAGGGCGCAATATAGACAAAGTTACATACTGATACCAACCATGCCATCAAAGCCGGCTTTGCCGTCTTCTAGATGATACATAAACTCAGTTACTTGTTGCTCCTGTTAGGTTAAATCCCATGGTGTGTTCTTTTGGCAAGAGCCAGAGATGCTGTCAATCTTTTGGTTAAATTCCAGTTAGATATCTGCATTCTGCCTACTTATGTTCCTACTGCAATTTCAATGACATGCAGTGGGCTTCCCTGCAGACTTAACTTGCTGTATATTGTTACAACAGACTGTTAGTTACCGCTTTTCACCAGCGAGATTTAAAATGTATATTGGAAAAGTCAGCTTAAATCTCTGAAAACATTTATGTGAGAATTTCTGTATCACTGACAGAGCTACTGAAGTCTTCAGGAACTAGGGGAATGGACAGAATAAATCAGTTAAGAGCTGTCACAGGTATTAATGAACTAAAATAACTGAAAAGGGCATCTGCTCTTTCCTAGTCACAATATATGCAGATAACAACTGCATACAGGCTGGGAAAAAAAATTTCTAGAAATTTCTGTTTCTGAACTGTCAGCACCCCTTTAATTGCGTAAGATGGGGAGCTAAGAAGCTATGCCCCTGCACTGCTTCCAAGTTCTGCACAAAAACTGTGTCTTGGTTAATGATGAACTCTCCTCTCCTGCCTCTGCCTATCAGCTTTATGCTCATTCACGAGCTTTACACTTATTAACATTGCCAAATCATTGCTGACTTAATTGTTCGCTTTGCTTAGAAATTATCCTCTTAACTGTAAAAAAGAAAGTCTAAAATCTGATATTTCAGTGTCTGCTACCACACCTTCTCCCACCATGCACGTTGCTGGGATATGATCTCACTGTAATTGCAATGAGTGATGAAAATCAGTGAACTGATGTATCCAGCTTATCTAAAGGACTTCTAATAATTTTTCCAGCTGCAATTACTTTGGTGAAAATGAACCCTCTCTTTGCTCTCAATACATTCAATTGCATATAACAAAACACAATTAGAGAATTGGAACATGTAATTATGTGCTGCTTTAAACTACTCTAATCAATGGAGCTGATTTCCACAATATATAATTTTTTCAGATACTTAGTACAGTTGAATGGTCTTCTGTAAGCTTCCCTAGTTTCTCCAGGCAAAAGGGGAAAAGCTGCTTTTAACTCCATTTTTGTTTTTAAAATAGAGGCGAACTGCCAGCCAGCACTGTGCATGTCAGCTTCACTCTGGCTTGGCTGCACCACTGACATAGGCTGTCTGCCAGCTCCACTGGAAACAAATGTATTGAATACACTGACTGTGAGCAAGAATAAGACTAGTTTAGGATCAAGAATGGGAAAAAAAAAAGTTGAAAGCACCTAAAATTCTACATTAGTGTATTTTATAGAACCAATTAGAGTGTTCAGGTGAATGTAATATAAAGGCAAAGATACATACCTTTGCATTTGTTTGTTGTCTTATCCAAAATAGCCTTCGTGGATACAATTTTCCCATACCTAAAATGTATTATACATATATAAGGAAAATGAGAAAAAAACATCCTGTTACAACAGATACCCAATTCACATTATTTTATATCCTATTACCCTTTACTTTTAACAAAATGGAATAATATATAGACTATAAAATTATATAATGAAAACTCATACGTAGACAGAAGTAACAAAAAAGATCAACAAATTCAAGCATGATCTTGTTCTATTCTCCCTATGTTCCCAGTGGCACAGCAGAATCAGAAAACAAACCAGAGAAAAAGTGCTTTACAGAAAAGAATACAAACACAGTTAAAATCCTGGTACATACGTGAAATCATGTTTCAGACATAAGCTTGGACTCTCTCAGTACATACACCAGATAAAGCCTTGTCAGTGCTAGGCTTGCTAACTAGCAAGATATGGGGTGGGGCGGGTGGCGGGGAGTAAAAAACTTAGCACTCTCTTTCCCCCACACACTGAAAAAGATTAAAAACTTTGATCTGGAAGGTGACAAATGCAAGTGAGATTTATAAAAACTGATCAGCAAAGGTGGTAAAGAATTTTCTGTATTTTTAAAATGGAAAATTGAAACGTAAATAATTTCAATTAAAACCAAAACATCCCTCAGGAAAGTTTCAATTTTCTTTTTTTTTTTTTTTTAAAAGAGAAATACACTCATTGCCTGTTTCTCAGCTTCTCAACAACTGGGCAGTCCAGGTGCCAATCTGCTACACAGTCCAAAGGTGAGCATCCAGAGATATAAGGGTAATTAAGCTTGGGAGACAGGCAGACAGCAATCCCAGCTATAAGAACAATTGCTGTTTCTGAAGTGCTCTGCAAAGTTTATCAGCATTAGGTTTTTTGATCAAATTTAGAGTAGAATTTGTGTCTGCTGGTGAAAACTTGCAATCTTCCCTGGAAGTTAAATCCAAGCTTCAATTTTAAAAAAGCAACTCCCTTGGCCTGCATCAGCAGCGGAATCGGAAACGGAGCACAGGTTTCCCAAGTTCCTTACCACAACCTCCTCTGTTTGCTTGTGAACTACATTTGATACAGTGCTGTGAGTACACAAGAGAGAAACGATGCAATGTGAGCTTGTTTTCACACGAGAATATAATGTAACTTATTTCATTAACAGGTATAGCTAAGCACTGTATGCTAAGAGGTTCTTTATCATTGTACAAGAAACGAACTGAAAATTATGAGAAACGTTACCAGCATGAGAAAGTGGAATTTGGGGAAGAAGGAAGTTTTGCCAGTTCACCTGCTAAATATAACTTCAACAGAGTATCATTTTGAAATTATATTATTTCAAAAGACAACTAACTCAATTTCTGCAGTGGCTGTATTAGTCTTAAAAGTTCTTCAAAACATCTAAGAAGCCTAATAAATAAAGTTAAGCTTGATTAGTTAAGAGTACTTAAATAACTCTTTACTTGCAAAGTCATAGTTACTCAAGGACAAAGCCTATTTACAAAGTACTTTTCCCCAAACGAACATTTAAATACATGTTTCAGTGTAGTTATCACACTCTGTGACCAGTTTCAAGCACCCTCTGTTTATTCAATGGGTTATGGTATGGCTTCAAATAGTTGCAAGTGGGTAAACCTGGCACACTAGCCACTAGGTGTTGGCTTCCTTATTGTATCTGAAATTGTGAGCATCTGCACTGATATAAAATAGAACTATCCATCTATAGCAAAAAAATGTACAAGTGTCAATGAAAATCAGTGCATACCTAAATATATTATGAAAGAAGCTGTAATAAAGCAATAGAAATTGTGCCTAATAGTTGGAGCAGGTACTTCCTTATTAGTGCCACTTATCTTCCAAATATCTCATTCCATTTAGAAAGCTCTATACCTCATAAGTCAAAACTTCTAAAGCTTTCTCCAGAATTTTTCAGAGTGCAGAGTAAATGTACATGTTATAAATGAGAGAGGCAAATGGTTCAGGGACAGTGCTCTTCAAGATCCACTACACTCTTGTGTCCTAAGTCGCTTGCACCCACCATTATATTTGATGGCCAGCATTCTCCATACCTTATCAGCTTCCCTAAGCTTCTTAAAGTGAAGAGCTATATAACCTTTTGTGGGAAGAAATCCCTGAAGGATGATCTTGTCTCTGCTACTGTTTCAGTTCTTGAAAGTGTAGAAAGCGGTGGTGGTGAAAAAAATACAGCACTGGGTATCTATGTAAACAAAGTAACTGCAACCCTCAGCCAGTTTGGCCCTGGAGGGGAGTCAGGGGCCAGTTTGGCCCTGGAGGGGAGTCAGGGGCTGGCTATGGACTGTGCTGGCCCACAGATGCTGACACACACCAGCCCATAAACATGTGTCTGCATGTCTGTTCTTTCCAACCACTTCATGGACCGTCTTCCAATGTGCAAGACTGCTAGTGATTTAATTCACTGTCCTAGATAGCACGGCTCCTGCAAAGAATCAGCTGCCATGGAAGACTGCCAAGAAGTTTCAGCAGTGTGAGTGTAGGAACGATTTAGAGAACTGGTATAACAATAGCAGCTATCACCAGGATTTCTCCTACGATTTTCCCTGTGAATACTCCTCCCAAGTGCTAGCTCTCCACTCACGCCATGAAGCACAGAAACACAGTTTACCCCACCTCAGCCTGGGCAGAAGGATACATCCCCTCCTTGCTCCCACCACGTGGTCTGATATCAGGGGAAATTACTCCTTGCAGTTCCTCATAAGTGCTTCCTTCAAATGATGACTATCATGAAAATCTACTTCCTTCCTCCTGAATTCTGCACTCCTAATACTGCTGTTAACACAGGCTCCCGCGTTCAACTGCTCATTTGTTAGGTGCAACTGCAGTCGGGACCCACCAGAAATCAATGAGCTATAAAACACATCAAAGTCATGGTACAAACTAGTATGTATTGCCTGCTTACAAAAAGGAATATAGCAAGCAAGAGAAAACTTATATTCCAAAGATGTCTATGATGTTAGGTCTTGCCTGAAGATCATCATTCCTTTCAAAGCTCACGCATATCCAGTTGTCTTAGGCACCCTGCTGAGGCTACTCTTCTGCTCCAAAGCCTTACTGCATGCTTGGTGAGACCTGCTACCTAAGGCAGAGCACATCCCTCATGGTTGGCAGAATCACTTCTACAATGATCGGTGATTGCTCATTCTCTCTCCTCTGAAGCAATTTTTTAAAATACGGTTTCTTTTAAATTAAGAACTAATCTTGAGAAATAACTGCTAATCTGGCTGGTGACAAGCAACTAGGTATTCCTTATTAAGTAGGTTATTTTTCTCCCCAAAATAACACCAAATGAATGTTCAGCAGCAATAAAGAGGGTTTGGTTTGCAGTTTTTCTGAATGCTACTAATGCATTCTCTCTTTAGTCTGAATTATCTTTGGAGAGGGAATGATGTTTTCAGCTTTACATCTCTTTTCTATATAGCACTTGTACCAATGTCAACTAACGCATTAAGGAAGAGAGGGCTTGGGTAAGAGGCAGGCAAATAATTGCCAGGGTGCGTTGGTTATGGGATTAAAAGGGGTATGTTCAGTAACAGTCCGTCTACAAGTGTACAAACTATCGTACAGAACACCAACACAAATGTATATCTGGATATGAGATAAAGAAGAAACTTGTTCAAAAGCCAAGTTAGGAAGATAAGCAGTACTGCTACTTACGAGGATAATGCTTACCGCTGCCCATTACACACACTGTGCAGAAATGAAAGAGTAACCCCACCTACTCAGCTGCCCTAAGAAGATCTACTGCCAGGCAATGTGAATGTCAAAACACAGCACTATACCTTTGTCTTAGATACGTTTGAAGTGGAAGGCTTGAAGCAAATCATCGACATATACTTTTTAAAAAATCACATTGTTCAGCAACACAGTCAAACCCAGTGCAAATAATCACACTGACAGATTTATTACAAATAGCTAGGAATACTTTTGACATTTAAAACATCTCTGAAGCCTAATTTTGGTGACCTCCATGATGATGAAAGAGAAGGGTCCTTAGAAAACTAAGTACACGGATCAAACCAAACCAGTGTTTATTTTCCTCCCTTTGTACATCTGCTAGTGTAACGAACATACTTGCAAACGTGAGGACGATAAGACGCCATCATGAGCATGACAAAGAATGGGGAACGAAGTAGCTTGAAGTCTCTGCCACAAGTGCTATTTTGAGTGTTGAAAGAACTTATCTGTGTGTGCATTAGGGGAGGTACAATAAGAACAGGCAGTGAGAGGCTTGATAGGGGTTGTCTGGAATGAATTGTTCAAATCTTTGCCCACAATAGCCGAACGTGATATACCTCATACCACCAAGCTCACAGCGCTTCCCTTTGCGGTACTTTCACACTGTCTTCCAGCTTGTATTGTGAAGGGTTTCTCTACCACCTGATGTTGACTCGGACACTAACATGCCAGAAGGATCTCTGCTACCATGGCAAGTCCTTGCCTTTTAGAGCTGCCTAGGTCCTCCACCCTGAACTGTCCAGAACTTTGTGTTGAAGTTGAGCAGTGCTCTCTCTTTGCCTAAGTCCAGTCCAGCTGTAAAAAGAGCATTCCTAGAGATCCTGCTGTGATCCTTTGCAGAAACAACGCTGCATATCTTCTGTGTTTATTCTAGATTAATTTTTACATCTTAGCATCTTATCATTGCCCTTCATGGAATGCTCTTTATTTCTAAGAGCCAGAATCATGTGGTAAAACCAGGCATGGATTTCATTACATGTAAGTGGCTCTGAGTACATGAACTCACTGTCAGGTGGAATTGTGAAAGGAAAGACAACCTGGCTGAACATAAAAATTTCAGAGGGAGCCAATATTCTCCCTAGGTGACGCGAAGACAAGAGAGAGCACAACAAACAGGCAGATCCAGCAAGGAGGGTCATGTGGGAGAGCAGATCAGTTAATCCTAAAACACATTGCAGTTGCTGAATGGATCCATATCAAAATAAACCTTACTTTAGACTAGGGTAAATAACTAGAGCAAAATGGATGAAGCAAACACTTCCAAAGCGATTCCT